AGTAATACAACTTTGAGAGCAAAAAATTATCTTGCATTTATAATGGTTATTTTTAATACTACAGATGCGGATAAGCACGTTCCTAGAAACTGTCCAGTTTAGAGGAATGAGTGTAAACAGGCCGGCTGTGTGTCATGATGTCCCGACATTATTTTCCAAATCGCATGCTTATTATACTACTAGTCCTAAGCGAGTAGCCATGTTTTATTACTCTTTCGACACAACCGGTCTTTCGGTCTTCGCTCTCAACCATGTAATTGACGTATTTTCCCCCATTTTTCCTTGCTACCCATGCATTTTTAGCCAGCTTGTTACCAATAGGGAGCTTAAAGGCATTCGCCCATCCTTCTCTCAATAAACCGCTAACATCCACAGCAGCATACCGGTCCTACGTTTGACACTTTTCTCTCACGAGGGACAGATTTTCGCCTAAAAAACCACAAATGACATTCCATTTTTGAATTCTGAGCCATGCTTTAGGAGTTTTTTTACTGTGTGCTCTTTTTGCTCAGATACACCTGCTGGCTCGTGTTAACTGACATCACCACATGTGATTGTATCAATTGGAACAAGTGAGTATTCGCCTACAATTACGTAAATGACCTAAGAAAAGTTCGGCTGTGCCGATGCGTTCTTTAACTACTGTGTACCAATTGGTAATTCAAAGGAGGTTCCCTGTATTTCCCTTAAAAAACTTCACTTGACTAATACATAATCCCAAAGTCAACTCCTGTCCTTAGCTCGATGCTAATTCATTGTCCACCCCTGTGGCATTAACACCAGCGAGGTCAGTGTTATTGCACTTGACCCGAAACCATTATCTAAATGGAAACGTGGAAGTGATGATCAGCTCAAAACCTGGCTCATTTCAATCCCTCAGGACATGAAAGTGGTCCTTGGACATTCGGTCTTCGGCGCTGGCGAAGAGAATAGCTTGAACTGTCCACGGATCGTCGCACGTGGAGAAGCACCGGAAATCATCAAGGCCGGTTAGATCAGTCACGATCGCAGCTG